GAAAGAGAGAAGCAAACAAACACTGAAAGGTAATAAATAAACCACTTCAAAGTGAGGAATCTTTAAAAAGTAGCTTAAGGGGAAATACAGGGATAAGCTTGGTGCCTAAAATCTTTTCTGCTGCACTAATCGCTTTATAGACTCAGAGCAAATCCAAAACAACAAGGCTGTTTACAGTTACAATTAGACTAATGAGAAACGGCACGTCTGACAATATAAAACCACGATTGATGATCGTCTATTAATATTCCACTAGAATAAAAAAAAAAAACCCGGATTTTATTTAATAAATGGCTCCTCAAAAGGAACGGTAAAACAAATCTAGTCTGTAAAAAAAAAAAAACAAGCAACTAAGCTTCCTTATTAATCAGAGTTCCAAACATTACATATAAACCTCAATATGCAGTATTAAGAACCTTTCTACAAATATATGTAAATATGTATATACACACATATAAAAATATATTCAACAACTCCACTGTTGCGCTGATCCATGTTATGCAGAGCCCATCCACATTTTACCTTCAACCGGCATAAGTGCGTCTCCCTGACTACATAGAGGTAAAGTTAGAGACGTTGGGTCAAAGAAAAAAATGCTTCATCACTTTTTATCTTCTGTGTCCATTTTCATTGCTGTCATTTTTCCACTCTGCTTGCTCAATTTGGAAGTAAAATTACTTGCAGAAAACTCCTGTGTCTTTAGTCCTCACATATTTTTGCATTAAGTGGCTCTATAGGGTAAACAGCAGGTACAGAAATACAGTCTTAAAAGCTGAAGACAGAACAACTCGTTCAATCCAAGCTCATGCGCCATAAATTCCAGACCACAATCCGCTACTTTTTCACACATTTTGAACTGCGACACACGCATTTTACAAAGCGGTTTCTAAAGGATGAACTCCTGTGTGACGAGGACAACAAAGCTCGAGAGTGAAACGAGTGACATTAACAGCAAAGCGCAATCAATTTTGGAAATTCGGATAGTTGCTCAATCTTGGAGGTCTATTGGGCATCTCCAAGAAACATGATTAAAAAAAGCAGGATAAACTAACGTTTTAATATTTAAAAAAGTTAGAGATGGGTGTGATGATAAAAAAATTTGTGAATAAATCTGCGAGATGTATATAAATTATAAATTACCGCTTAGTGAAAAAGATCATTCCAACCCCTGGTAAATACAGCAACAACTTACAGCACTTTATACCCAGCTGAGCGTCTCCAATAATTGCTAAGGGTGCAGAACAGAACCGAATCAATGAAAAAAAAAACTTGACACTGATAAGGTCAGATGAAATTAAAAGGAAAAAAAAAAGAATGGAAGACCTGGGGTGAGGGATTTGCAGAAACGGCAAAGGAAGGCAGACTGGAGCAATTAAAATGGAGCAGACTGTATGAGATTCACTAACTGAAGAAGCAGAAGGTGAACAGCTCATCATTATGGTGATGAAGGCCGGTGTTGAAATAAGCTCAAGTGTAGGAGGAATCCTTACCATGGACACAATTACTACAGCTATAAATTGCTAATAGTTTTAGAAAAATTCTGGCACACACAATTGTGATATGTGAAACTGTTTAACTGTGACTACAGGAGCTCTGTGCAGCCAGAGGATGAGTGTCTCCCTCCATCAGTTGTCTGGTCTTCAACTAAGCAGCAGAGGTCGACACTTCTGACCGTGCCCTGAGCATATTACCCATGCTGCATGTCTATTTTTTTGTGTGGCTGTGTGCGCTTGCTCATCCAGCTGCCGGGCAACTGATGAAGAGGAGGAGGAAGGGTCAGAGTGGGTCAGCAAAGACTTTGTGTGATCTCAGTTTGCTTTTCAAGGAGACTGGGGAATGAGCAGCACAAAAGGAGCAAAAGAAAAAAAAAAAAGCACAATGGAAAGAGTGAAAGAGAGCTTCTGGAAGTGAGAGGGAGCTCTGGGGGGGATATAACAGGCCTTCAGCTGTTTTTAACAGAATGATGGGCAAAGGAACACAGTTTGAGCAGAGTGGGAGCTTAGTGGCATCTGTGCTTCAGATACTTTATACAGCAGCAACTAATACAGACATATTCACAAAAAAGACTTTTTAGAGACTTGAACACAATCGGCCTCGCAAAAACAAAAGACCTTGCACATAAGAATGTTTTAATCAAAACTACTCAGTTTCAGCATGCTAAAAATATGCAAGGAAAATCAATAACGCCTACCTGTGCACCCCCTACTACCGTTACCCACCCCATTTTCATCCCCACCAGCAGACAGGTGTGAGGCTATGAAAAGGCCATGGTGTCTTTATATACAGCGCTTGGAAAAGGTTATTAGACATCATACGGAACAGGCGGCTGTCTCAGCCAATAAAAAAAGGATTCATGGGAGCATGGGCCAAATGGAGTGTAGAGGAGGTCATATTATGGAGTGGCAGGCGGACGTAAGGATTTGATATACAGATGGATGCAGATGGGACAGCTGCCAGCTCTGACATTTAACTGACATCAAAAGCTAGCATAAGCCGTCTTGTGCATGCACACTACTGTTTATGTATATGACCCGAGTGTGTGTGTGTGATGAGTATTGAGACTGAAGGTGAGATAAAATTGCATACACACTGCCTGGGAGCTCCTGATGTCCGGGATATAATTTGAATATGGAGGAGTTGGAGCAGAAGGCTCAGTGACACCGGGACAAGGTGAGAGGAGTGGACAGGTGTGTGTGTGTGTGTGTGTGTGTGTCAGCGTTTTGTGCCAGGACAGCTGGTGAGTCGTCAAAGGACATCAGTGACCTTCTTCTTATCCCTTCCTATACTGTCGTCCCATTGTCTACGTCTACCTGCATTGATGTGCTCCAAATATGCCCAAGTAGTGATTGTCCCAGCTCAAGCCACGAGTGCAATGAGAAAATGGTCCACAGTGGGTAAGGGCATGTAATTAAGTCGAGGTCAACATCGTTTTGATTTGCCCTTTCCAAATAACAACCCTGTAAAGGTAAGTAAAAATATGTGAAGTGCAAATTGTTTTCTTTTGTTTGCTCTAGTATGACTAGTAAGATTTCCTGTACAAAGAAACTGAAGTTATGTCCCCAGCCTCCACTTCTTCTGTCTGCTGCTAAAGCTAAATCAGTTAGCAGTGAGCTCATGCAAACACCATCCAGGAACACCCCAGACTGGTGTCTTCTTGCTGCAAATCAACATAGCTACAAACTGTGCACAATTTATTTTTTTTTGGTCAAAATTACATTTTAAAGCACAAATCTTCAGACTATTTAGAATTAAAAATTGTCTAGTTTATCTCTAACTTTTACCAGACTGTTAGATTTATTCTAGTGCTAATACTAATCGGTTAAAAAGAAAAATTAATAAGAGACCTGTGAAACAAACCAGGTGACACACGAGATACTCAGCATGTTTTAGGGAGAGGCAATATGTAACAAATTACATTTTAAAAAATTGCTGAAACATATTTTCAATACATTTTTCACAAAGCTGTAATAGTGTTTTTCATTTTGAAATTCTTTAATGATAAAGCATTTTCCTCACCTTGCAAAACAATAACAAAAAAAGCAAGAAACAAAATAGCTTGCATACATACTAGGGTGCAAGTAGAATACTATTTAAAAAAGTGTAGGTCAAATTTTTTTGAGTTTTTGCTTTGAAAGCGGGTCGGACGATTGTGTTAAAATTATTAATACCATTACAATCATCTAAGATTATCCTCAACTAAGATGTTGCCGTGTTTTTACGCTCATCTGGCTCAGGTTTCAGGCTCTCTGAAACTGCTTTAGTTGGTGCAGTTACTGCTTGAAGACAAATGCACAAGCATTGTTACACTAAGCATGATTGAAGTGCTAACATGACTGACTAAAAACTAAGAACTGTGGTTCTGTGGGTAAAGCAGTCTGGTGATCGGAACGATGTAGGTTCGATTTCAGCTCGCTCTTGTCACATGTTGATGCCTAACCACAAGCTGCCCACCGATCTGCGTATCAGTGTAAAAATGTGTGTGCGTTTGTGAGTCCAAATGGGTGAATGTGACTCCAGCGTAAAGCGCTTTGAGAGGTCAAAATGATTGGAAAAGTGCCTATATAAGTTCAGTCCATTTACCAGGATGGTTTCCATGACAATAGACAGTGATGCTAATATCGTCAGATTAACAACTATGGATGATTATGTCCATATGAGAAAGTCTGCAGCTGTCATTTCCGCTCCTGTCTTGGCTGATTATGCTGCTGGCTATATCTCCTTCTCTGTTGAGGTTTGTAGTTTTGATAACTTTCAATGATAATGTCAAGAAAACACACACACAGAAAAATAGATTATTTTTTCTATACCTCAGAGCGCCACAGTCCAAGCATATTGTCAACGATTTCATGTTTCTGACAAAACAAAATTTCTATCAAAATAAAAACTAAATGTCTCAGAATTTCTCAGATTGGAGACAATATTCCGTTTTGCTCTTGTTAATGGTAGCATTTCACAGTAATAAATATAACCTTTTATCTGAATGAAAGGACTGCCATTTGTCCTACAACTGCCATGTATTCTAAGAAAGGTAGTTGATGTCCAAATGACAAACGCACATACACAAACATCTTCATAAAGCTAATTTTAGTAAATTTTGTTGACATTAGTAGCTATACTTTAAAAAGTGTTAAAAAGTAATCACTTTTTGTGATTCGGGGACAAAGAAAATACTAAAATGTGAATAAAAGTCAGTTAAATTTTCTCAATATTGAATACATAAAGGATGACTGTATTGTGATACAAAATCTTCATGTTGTTAAATTCCCATTTACATTGCCGTCAATCTGCACTGGAAATTACCAAAATCTGAGTTTCAAAGACGTATTGTGGTGCAAATAAAGGAGATGTGAACATTTGGCTGGACCTAATTGAAAAGGTTAGACACACTAGTGCAACCAGTTGAAAAAGTTAGTGTGGAGTCCTGCTGCGTCATCGGCTTATGAGAGAAAGAGAGAAGTGCAAGAGAAAATGTGTGAAAAATCAGTGTGCAATACACTTACCACCCTTGGCTGATGAAAGAAGAAGAAAAGGCATCAAGGATTGTGGAAATTACATAGAAAAAGACAAAAAAAAAAGAAGCATTCTTTAATATTTAGAAATGCAATGTAAAAAGCAATGAGATATTACACACTAGATAAAAACTTACGCTTTGTTTGTGATGAGAAAGTTAACGTGAGTTTGGCAAACAGTTCATTGCTCTGAAATTGTTCCTCATTGGCCTTGGTCCAGAAACTGTTCTCACTCAGGTCTTCAGCTGCAATCTAAAAAACACAAAGGTCAGAATGTACAGGAGAGGGAAACAAAGAAACATGACATGAACAGGAGGGAAAGGAATCACAGCTGTTATATAATCTTTCTATCAAATTGGCTCAATAGCCCCAAACTTGGTTATCTGCTCACCTGGCAAACAATGAGACACGCAGATGAAGAAGTCAATAGAAACAAAAGGAAATTGGTAGGAATATGATGGTATGAGAGGATGAAGGACACAAAGAGGAAAGAGAGAAGAAGATGCATGTAGTCATGTTCTGTAATTATTGTACATATTATGGTGTAAAAGAACTTCAGCTTAAGTTTCAAATAACCAACTTCTTTTTACTTCTAAATCCCTTTCCCCCTTAGTTTTATCTGCATGTTTTCACACAAGTCAAAATTAACCATGCTTTTTTTTCCCCCTCTCCTCCACTTTCTCAAAATTCTTATCAAGAGAATAAAAGCCCATTACGAAAGAGAAAGCAGGGGTAGTAAATTTAGAGATATCAGGCCTTTCATTATGGACAAAGCCTCAGGGATGGGTGTAGGACAGAAAAGACGGCGAGTGAGGCAAAAGAAATGTGATATGGCAATGAGTCGAAGGAGAAAGAAAGAAAGCAAGAGAGCATGCACAGGAGGAAAAAAAAAAAAAAGGATGACACCCAAGCCAGAAAAAAAAAGTCAATTTAAATTACAAAAGAATACCATCCTTTCTAGCCGCAATTTAATTATCTGTCAGTGGTGCAGTTAAAAGAAGGAGGCTTATTAAAACGCAATTTCTTTGACATCCTTGTCAAACCCTCGTACCACCCCAACAAAGGAGAAGTGAGAAAGAGAGAGAGTAAATGCTGATGAAGTCTGCGTTAGCCATTAAACAGTAGCTTTAGGCTAAAGAAAGAAAGAAAGACGTTTTGATGTTTTAACCATCATAGAGGAGAGGGTGCTGAAGAACATGAAGCACATAGTCATGAGATACACGTATGCGTGGAAGCTACTTTTGGTGAATATTTCACTGGAAAAGCTCCAAGCTCACATTTTACTCGTACAGAGGCGCCCATAAGAATAAATGTTACGCCATACAATGATATTTCTACAGGTCTCTGTTGCTTAAATACATGTTAATCAGCCTACAAGTTGCCAAATATTCTAAATTTAATTTTTAACTGTTTTTGTCAGCACTGACCTTACTCCAGTTAGCCCTCTTCAACTGGACCTCTGGCTTGTATTCCGTCTTAGGCTGGAGCCCAAAGGGTAGTGGAGGTGGTGCAGGAGGACCCCAGTTTCCTGGCGGGGGTGGAGGCATACCTGGTCCTGGTGGTGGAGGAGGAATACCAGGACCACCTGGTAAGGGTGGAGGAGGTGGTGGTCCTCCCATGCCGGGGAGAGGCGGAGGAGGTGGAGGTCCTGGCATCCCAGGTAAAGGCGGAGGAGGTGGAGGTCCTGGCATCCCGGGTAAAGGCGGAGGAGGTGGAGGTCCTGGCATCCCAGGTAAAGGCGGAGGAGGTGGAGGTCCTGGCATGCCGGGAAGAGGCGGAGGAGGTGGAGGGGGAGGAACTGGACCAGGTATAGCTGCGTGGCCTGGTATAGGCGCAGTTGGCGGTGCAACACCAGACTGGCCTGGAAGGGGTGGAGGAGGTGGCACACCGGGTGTTGGCACAGGAACAGTAACCGTAACCACCTTCGTTTTGGCTTCTTCCAGATCCTTCGACAACTTTTCAATCTGCAAGTAAAGAACCAGGAAAAGAACATTTAGTCGAGTTTAGATCCAGTCTAAAGACATCAAAAGAAATATCAAACCTAAGCCTGAGCCGGCAAGCAGAGTCCGAGCCCCATCCGACTCAACTAATTAACTTTAATTTTTAGGCCCAAGTCTTAAGTAAACCCAACATATTATTGGCTTTAGACTGTTATTCGGGTTAAGCAGTGCAACTTCTGCTAGTTTTAGCTTTGGTGTTGCACGTTCAAGATCCATTTTATATATATTTTTTTACAATATTATTTAACATAACAGAAAAAGACTGATGTTTTGGAAGGTCCCAATCAGAGATCAAGCCTGAATCTAATTTAAAATCTGTGCACAGCAGATGCCCTCACAATCTGACAGATTTGGAAGACTTTTGAAAAGAGGAGTCAAAAAAGCCAAGTCAAGATGCGCCATAGTGCAACCCAAAAGGTGCATCAATTCATATTTGTCTCATTTCTTTACTTCATATAAAAAAAAATAAATAAATAAATAAACTGGAACATGCCTACAGTTCAGATTTTCTAAGTCTGCCGTCTTGAACAGAGGCAACAAAAAATATCTATAAAAAAATGTTAACACTCCTGTTATAAAATGGGTTCAAAGGCAAAGTGCCACATGAAGATGGGGTTTAAATGAATATATATTTTTTTAAATGCATCCATAGCCAGTCATGACCCCACATTTCTAGATATATTTGGAGTCTTTTTTGTAGAACTGGAAGAGGTCGACGCTTGTGCTGAAATCCCTTGAATCATCATTTTCAATTTCACCCTTGCCAAATTGCGTTTCCAAGGAAAACAGAAGCCAACTGAAAGAAAATAACTAAAGAAGTGAGCTAGTGATTACGGCCTAAAAAAGATTTAGTTTTGGAAGAAACGAGAAGAGAATGCAGGGCAAAGTACACAGAAAATGATAGCAGAAGGGAATTAAGTCCACAGAGGAATTCAAAGAAAAAAAGTTTTGAAAGACGAGGATAAAGTTCTAAATGAGAAGTGAGTGTAATGAATTTTTCATTTCCATACTGAAGTACTGATTACAGTATTTACATCAGTTGGTGCCAAATTTTGAGAAAACTGTCCAAGTCATTAAAGTCAGTCAGCTAATAAAAGCAGACTAGCTTTTGGAATATTGATACACCACACACAATTTAGAGCTAGCACGCACCAAGAAGCTCATTTCCTCTATGTATTCTCCTGTATTTGTAGTGAACACACTGTGTGCGTGCATGTACGTGTGTGGATCCCTGTCTGCATGCAGCAGTGTAACAAATTGTCTGTGTTGTTTCCTCGGACTTTGAAAGGAAGACAGTAACAGACACAGGGAGCCTCGGAGGCAGGCTTTCTTAGTGCAGCAGCAGATGAAGAACTGGGCACAGCATCATACGAGGGGACACCAAGAGATCTCTACATGTGAAGAAATCTTCCATCGGCAGCGCCTCAAACACAGAACGTGAGCCATCTTAGTATGAGAAGCTTGTTTGATGCCTGGCTCGTGGTGCTGGTGACGCTTTGGACAACTGTCTGTGTGTGTGTGTGTGTTTGTTTAGAGCCTTTGTTTGATGAGAAGTTGACTCTGCTGGCATCAGCCTCTGTGGATGAAGCTCATGTTGGAAGTTGGGTGGCTGTCCAAATGACAGACAGACAGACGGACACACACAGGCACACACACAAAAAACATCTTCATAAAGTTAACGAGCACACGTGCTCAGAGGCAGACGGTTCTGGGTCACTTGATGTGTTTGTGAGTTTGTTTGTCACTACGAGGCAGAGTCCAGCTGGTGTGGCAGCAGGACACTGACAGCTAAACAATCCTCATCTTTGCCTCCCCATGAGTGAATTCACAAATACACACAAACTGCATGTGTATCTTGGCCTTAGAAAATATGTTTGTCCCGACTCCATCCTGTTTTTTTTTTCCTTCTCTTTTTAGTCCCTCCGAATGTCCCGCTTTTTTATTATTTATAAAGTTCCCTAATCTCTGCAGAATTTGGCGCACTCACAATATCCTTTTATTTTTCTTCCATTCATCAGCGGCATTTCCTAAATTCAAGAAGCACGAGGGGCTTCAGTCTTAAAGTGGGCGTTCACTAATTTTAGGCAGCGATTCAATGTAGGGAATTGAAAGATTGCATTTTTTCTGCACTTTCATGCAGTTAGTTTTCTGTCCATGTTTCCAGAGCATGGTGTAGCTGATCCAACTATATAACTAGAACGATTAACAAAATACAGAAGTACAGCTTAATATATGAACTGCAAACATAAATGCATCGGAAGCTTAATGATCCACACAATATAATCGAAAACAGTGATTCAAGTGACAATTGAAAATACCACCATGATTATCTGTTTGTGTATACCTGGTTTTGCAAAGAGCTTAGCTGTTCTTGCAGACCCTGGTTCTCCTTTTCTCGCTCCAGTTTGACGCAGGCCAGCTGTTCCTTTTCTTGGCTCAGGTCCTGCAGCTTTTGGTCATAATCACTCTCCAGTTTATTCTTCTCCACCTGCAGCTCGTGGCGCGCTGTCAGCTCTGATTCCAGCTGATGTGTATTTTAGTCATGGTTGGAGAGACACCAAATAATTAGTGTACTTAAAAAGAGGAGGGAAAAGCTTAAACTTTTCAGTGTTGTGTTTGTATTTATTGTGATGAGGTGTTAGCTGGAAAGCAGCGAGCCGTTGGTTCTCCTGAATTTCACAATGACACTCAGAGAAGGTCACAGAGGTCCCTGTGCTGCACAGGAATCCTGACTGTTCAAAGTGTTAATCATAATGTGGTTGCTACTTGAAAACACGATTAAGAAAAGGTTAATGAATTAAATAATGTTTGTAATTATGCTTGTTTCTAAAAACAATGGGCTCCGATAGAAAAAAAAAAAAAGCATTCCACTACAAACTATACTACAAAAGTCTTTTCCAAAAGTACTCCTGCCGCTTTTTACCTTTGTTGGGTAACAACAACAAACCTTAATCTATTTTCTAGGGAGTTGTGTTGTAGATAAGCAAAATTGGTGGAAGTTGAGGAAACTGAATAGTTTAAGCTTTTTTTTTTTAATGAAACTCACCTCCCAGCAGGAAAATTAATGGTTTAGCTAAAACCATGGCAATAAATGTCTAAGTCAAAGTCCAGAACAAACCGGAGTTGGTGTTTAGACCCGAGGTATTTTGCAAAGAAGAAGGGACAAAAATCTCAGTCTAAACCTGATGGAGGTATTTCCCCTCCAAACATATGCTGCACTAATTGTAGTACAAAGGGGCTCTATAAACTGACTCAGAGGGGGGGACTGAAAATAAAGGATTCAGATTTGTATTCATAATTTAAAACAAAAACATGCATCATTTTCTTTCCATTTTACCTCTTTGTTTTACTTGGTGTTGGTCTAACACAAAAAATCCCAACAAAATACACCGAAGTTTGTCGTTGCGACTCGTTATGTGAAAAGCAGAGGAGTTGAAGTACTTTTGCAAAACAAAGGCTGATTAAAAATCAAAAACAATACTATACAAGTTTAAACTTAATCTAAATTTATAAACAATTCATTCAAAAAAATGGATGAGAAGTGTTAATTTTTCTTCATTTGTTTTTTTTTTTTACAAAGAGCCAAGTGTGTTCTCAAGAAGAAGAGGCAGCTGTTCTTGCATATTTCAAACCTGTTGAGACAATTTCTGTTGAGCCTGTGAGAACATTTCTTGCAGTCTAGTGCTTTTCTGTTTTATTGTATAATTTACTCCGAAAATTGCAGTCAATTATAAAGTGAGGAGGCTTCAGTGTTTTTAAATGAGCGCCCTACTCAGTGTTTTTTCCAACGCCTTCCCCCTCATAAGTGAAACTTCTTACAGCATTTTTAATTTTCTCACTTTAACACAATTTTCAAGTCATTTTCCCTCAGACACCTGACAAACAGGATGATGTTAAAAAAAAAAAAGACAACTACATGAAGACACAGGCACAAACACAGCTGTTTAATTTGCAGAAAGCGGATCCGTTACTCTGGCTGTCAGCAGCCTGACAGCCTTATCCCTAATTCCTGCCAAAAGGGACTGCTCGCAATTACCCCATCATGCTCAACCACCAATATGATGTGTGGTCCATGACAATTAGACGTCACGGCGCGCCTGCTAGTGTGGATGTGTCTTGTCGATTGATATGATCCCACATGTAACTGCGTATTATGAATGAAGACTAGTTTTTAGCTCCCTCTTTGCAATTATCCTGTCACTAGGACAGAAACATCAGGCTGGCAACGAGCCACAATCAAGGCATTTACCCCCCCTGTGTGTCTGAGTGAGCACGTGCGTACGCTCGTCTGTCGGGCGGCTTTCAGGAGAGTGGATGCTCATTTTCAGTCAACCTCTCTTTCTCGCTTTTTGTAATTTGTCATCTCATGTCAGCCTGATGATAGCCAACCTAGAGTCATTATAATTCAAACATGTCTGAGTCAGACTGAAGAACACTTTCACAGTATTTATTTTTTTTATTTACCGTCTTTTAGGTTAAAGGTCGCGTTATTCTCTCTCAGTTGATGAGTTTGTTCTTGCTTTTGTTTGTGTCCGTGTCTGCAAGGCTTATTTTGCTATTAAGTAGACTTGTGTGTACCTTCTTCTCAAGATCTGTCGCTTTGGCCTCACTGACTTCCACTTTGGTCTTGTCCACCATGTTGTCTTTGGACAGAAACAGAGGAAACAAAAGGGGAGGGGAGAGAAACCAGAAGAGTGGTCACAGATAAGATAAGGGTTTTGACAACACACTTGCACACATCGCGCCTCGGAGCCATTGTACCCTTCAGTGTGGTACGGGGTTTGTGCACTCACATAAATTCACAGAAGGATACAAGCCATCTGTCTTCCTATTTTTTCCCCTTTATCACAACACTCGCAGTCAAGATCCATGAGGCGATTGCAGAGGCATCTCATTACAATAGGATGCTTTGTGTCGCATGCTGCTTTTACATATCATTACCTTTTAAGCCTTCAGCACACACACCTTTGTTTTCCCTTCATGCAAAATAAATCTCTGCTCTGGGAGTAATGTATTATCAGATATGCGTCTTGGCAGAGGACAGGGTGAGAAGGACACTGAACGGCCAACAGGATGCCTTTACTGCATAATTGCAGGGTCAACAGGTGGCTCAGAGCTGGTGATGGAGCTAATTAATATGAAGATAAATGCCACTATGTCACCAGATCAAAGGCAGCTTATGGTGCCCCAGGGTGGGGAGCGGGGTGTGGGGTGGTCGCACTGGGGGGAATCGATGCGGATAAGTACAAACGGAAAGCTGTGTGAAGCTCACAGAAAATTACAAAAATCTGTGCACGCTTAAGTAGAAAGTGAACCATAAAGATAAGAGATGAGATAAAAGAAATACACTATCGGAATAGATGAAATGGGAAAGAATGATTTTCTATAATAAGATAAACTGAATGGAAAAACCGGAGATCAAGACCTTCCCCGATTAAAAAGAAATGTATAATATACCGACCCCCATGCAATTTCAGGGTGTATTTGTGTACGAGTTTACGTGGTTATTGGATGTGAAATGGATTTAGCGGAGGGGGCGAGTCTCTCATGGTGGCTAGGCTAAATGGGACAAACTTTGAATAGAGAGCACAGAGGGAGACAGAATGTGGAGGGGGGGGGGAAAACTGTGCTGAATTTCAGAGTTCAAAGAAAAACACTAAATAATGCATGCAGGGCAGAATTGGGCTGCTTTCCACCAATAATAACTCTGACAGGCTTAAAAGAGGCCAGCCAGCCCGCGCGTGTGTCAGGACGCATTTAGAAGCAGCGCAATTAGAGTCTCCTGCAGTGAGCAACGGAGACCTGCCATAAAGAGCATTGAACTCATGAGACATGGCCTGCACCTGCATTTTGCTTTGTTTTTCCCCATCTGCTGGCAGTGATCTTTAACAACTGCCACTCAAGCGGAAGAAAAAAATAAAATAAAATTCTGTATTTAGACAAGTGTTCACGGCTTCTCCCAGGAACGATTATTTTACAGGGGAGAAATCCACATCTGGTATTTGTATTCAATGGAGAGTGACATGAAACGGATCTCACGGATCAGTGGCAATCACAAAGTCGACTTTAATCCCTTCCCCCGACACCTTTCTGATGGCGGATTAAGGTCTGTGTCCAACCATTTCTGTCTCTTCTAAAAGCTGACAGTCATTTCTTCCTACTTCATATTGTGACTGACCAGGTTGTCAGTCATAAGAAACTGGTAGAAACCTTAAGGGTTTGGGTTTTTTTTTTTTTTTTTCAGTTGCTAAGCTATTTGTGGAGCTTTTCAATCAGTAAACCGTGTGGGACAGCATACATTTCACCCTGAAGACACTTAATGCCCCCACTTTAATGATAAAGCATCACCTTCATCGCTGGAAACGCTTTTCCGTTTATCTTTCAGAATAGCTATTTGGATCTGGTAAAAACATCCAAGGAAGCGAGTTCTACAAAGTGGTTTTGACACACCATAAATCAGTCCTAATACTTTGATTCCCAGAAAAAAAGAAGTGTGTGTCATGCCTGCAGCTGGAAGAGATGGTGTGCCCTGCAGACAAATGAAGATGGGCACTGCTGGCTTGTTTTATTTATGCATTCCCCAGCAGAGTATTCAAGCTACCATCCAGCAGCAAGCTGATTTCGGAGTTGCACGGAAGGAAAGAGGCCGTTTTTAACCTTTCGTTTCATAAAAAATGTGTTTCATACAAATTATTTGTGCTGTTAAAACCTGTAGCACCATTCTGACTATATCTGTACTTCCCTCTCTGGCTCCACCTTGTGGTTTTACTAATGATATATTCGACTTCACATGCAAACCAGTTTTGACTGAATTAAATTTCACTCTTTTCATTCCTGCAAGTCAAATATGACCAACAGTTTGTACCGATTTTTCTTTTCATCTATTGGCATTCTGTGTTCAAAGAGTGAAGGTGCATTCAAGTACAGAAGTAGGTGGAAAAGCTTGAAGGTGGCATTTAAAAGGATGAAAAATCCTTGAAGGCTGACATGTTCTGATCCAATAACTCACCTATCAAACCTTCGATGTCGACATGGAGCTTGCGGCACTTGAAGTCAGGGTCTGACCCATTCTTGTGAAGCACAATCTGAGCAATGCACTCATCTATCAGCTTGTAGTACTGAGGCCTATTAGAAGTAAGAAGAAATTAATTTATCATTAGAAACATTTTCAAAACTCTCTTGGAGCATCACTTTCTTTCCCCCCCCCCCAAACCTGACGTGCAAAATAAAGCAAATGGCACAGATTTTCAACTCGTCAATAACAGAGCCTCTGACTTTGCGCAAGACAAATGATGTTACCCTGCTCGGGTAAAAAAAAAAAAAAAATGTGTGAGCACACATCCTCTGCTACTCTGTCTTTGAAACTGAGATTGGATGTCTGTGCGAGCAGGGCAGTTTGAGTTTCTTGTCACAAAGATCGATTGTGTGCAAGTGCTCGTGCGAGCGCTTGCTGGTTTGTGTCCAGCGTCAAACGTCTGATCAAACCAGCTTTACACAGACACTCAATTTCAGAGGTGCCTTATTCTTCGACCCCATTAGACGCTGCCAGATTCAAAAACTCAACACTATTTATTCCGTCTCTGTACTCTGCTCTCTCACTTTGCTTTTGTCTTAAGCTTATTTCACTACTTCACTATACTTTAGGTGTGTTTTTTCTTTTTTTTTCTTTTTTCCTCCCCAAAGTTGAGATTTATCCGTGGAGCGAGAGAGACATCTAGTGTTGTAAGAAAAAAAGAACTTTATTCTAAAAATGAGATATTCTTAATAATCTTGAGGACATTCATTTCAACTATAAATGACAAGTAGGAGATTGTGGTGGGCCAGGGGTTTATCTATTTTACTACATGAAGAGCATGTACAGAACAAACTGAATTCTACAAGTACATCTACTAAACCTTTAAAAGACTACAAATGTATACCATGTGCATAAAACTACATAAAGCATATATTGCACAATTATCCACTACACTCTCCCCTCTACGCCACTTGAGCCTGAAACCAACCATGACTGAAGAAAGGAGCAAATCAGCAGGTACTCTTTGTAGCAATTTACCACTGCTCTCAATTTTCTCTGCATTATTGTCTCACAGTCTCCACCTTCATTTTCCTTTCATCTCTGTATTAACAAAGCTGTACTTTGTGCCCTGTGAAGCCCTTTCTCCTCCTCTTACTTTCAATATCTCTTTGGAGTCCATTACAGACCACCTCCATTGTGTATCAGCTTGATGGGGGGGAGGAGGAGAAAGAAGGAAAAAAAAGAAGAAAAAAAAACTTGCTACACATACACACACACACACAAAAAAAAACATCAGCTGATGAGATGTTTTTTTTTTTAAAATTTGCTTGGTAAAGAGATAAAAATAGACCAAATAGACCATCGTATGTCTGCATTATTACATCAGTCAAGACACTGAGCAAACATCCATTTAAGCAGGCAGACTTATAATTTTTTATGCCAAGAATGCAGCTGCCAATATTTTTTTAAATTAATAAGGGACACACAAATCCACAACGCTAAGTAAATATTAATATGATTCTGCAACGGTTTTGTCATTCAATCATTCTCTCCCCTTTCTTTCCCTTAAATCACACTCGAAGGGGTTTTGGAGGACACCAGGCGAGACATTAGCATATTTCTTCTGATAAGCGTGGATGGTGCTCAATTCCATTAAAATGAAACTGGACTTCTTTGCATTTATTAATTTCACTGTCTTGATAAGGCCCTCTAGAAAACAAACAGCAAATGGAGAAAACTGCTGAAATAAGGGAGATGTGAGGAGAATCAAAATAAGAGGAATAAATATTTTTGAAATGACTTCTATCTTGGCTATGCCTGCACCATCATCGGATTATTTCTGTTGTCCACAGCCTCACTTAGTCTATAAAAACATGCTGTTCATTATGTAAACGATGAGTTATTTTTCTAAGCTTTATGCGCCGATATGCTAATCAAACAGTTAATCATTTGATTTAAAGGCACTGACACAGACTAGGCTCCAGGTGTTTTAAATTATTTCACCAAAAAAGTATTTTACCAATTCACTTTTAAAAAATGTAAACTGAGGCATATTTTTGTTTATTTTGATCGTCTACTGCTTAAAATTAAACCAAAACTCAAATTCTCTGGAAAAAAAATGATTTCAATTTAGAGATGTTGACCCTCTGAATAACCTGTCAATATATTGTACAGTGCCTGAATGCAGCACTTCCTCAGGGTTCCTTGTGTATGAATAAAGCATAATTTTTGCAAGGCATAGATATGATCAGTCAGTCCTGTGCTGAGAGAGATAAGGAAACCCAGGTTGCTTTAAAAGTCCTGCTGATGTTTGTACTGTTTAGTACAAACATCAGCATCTTCCTTTGACAATGCTCCATTGTTTCTCCACAACAGGTCTCTGCAACCTGCAGCTCTTGGGCCATAAGAAGCACTTTGGTTCTTATAATCTATGGTTAAAAATATATTTTTTTATTATTATGTTTTATTTTTATTTCATTGGCTGTGAAACATTTAGCAAAAGTTCTACATTTTATCAAATTATACCAATTAGCAGGCCTGTTATCTGCTGCAAAAGCTACCGTTGATCAGATTTGAATGCATTGGCAATAATGTTCTCCAAGTTTTACTTTCATGTTAACATTAACCCACAACTCAAATGCTGCATTTGCTCTTACTTTGTTCTCATTATCTAATGGCATGAAACAATGGGTGTTTTTGTTACATTTATTTTTGCCGATAAACAAACTAGTGATGTGAAAGATTTACTAGAGACTCCTGATTATTATGGTCCAAGGCAGATTGTATTTGTTATAAAGGGGCAACAATATTGCCATGTTTCATTGGTGCTCAGTGTAGTGTTATGATTGTATTTTTTCTTTTATTTGTAAATTGCTCACGTTAAAAGCAAAGGACTACAGTTTCTGGTATGCTTGATTTATTTTAAAACCGTACACCCGTCATTATCTTTTAAGCTTTTGAACTGTGCATTCTTATTATCTCTACAGAGCTTTTCTGCTCCAATTATAGAGATAGAGCAGTTAATCGGCCAAAGATTAAAAATGGGTGATTTTCCCTTGATCAGCTCTAATCAACGATTGTCAGATCAAAACAGAAAAATCTTAGTTACTCCCTTTGAGTAGTAAATCAACATAAAGTGGTACATACTTGTGAAGTGTGGGGGGGAGGGGGGGAAATATACTGACCAAATAATCTGAGATGTGGTGTGCATAATTATTCTGTTCTGGACCTGCTCATATCCCTAAAATCCAACCAATTGTCTTGAACACTCAGTCAGTACACCTGTGGATGATTTAATCTCAGAACAAATACAGTAGTTCTGTAAAAGCCTCAGACGTTTGAACAAATAGCTTCAGAAAGACTAAGAAACACAGCAGACCTTCACAGATGAAGGTGTGAAGAAGCTTAATCCAGGATAGAACAATATCCAAAGCTTTGACCATCTCTCAGAGCACTGCTCAATCCTCTGAAAACACCTAGCAAGATGACTTTTGGATGATCAAAAAGATTTCTTGGCCATCCACCTGACTGATGGTCCGAGCAAGGAGAGCATCAGTCATAGGAATGGCCAAAAGGCACATATTTACTCTGGAGGAGCTGCAAACATGAAGAGCTCAGGACTCTCTGCAAGACAACTACTAGTGTGAACTCCACAAATCCTACCTTTGTGAAAAATGAGAGAACATAAAATACCTTTTAGCCCACTTTAAGATAATTAGAACTGTGGAAAACTGTAATAAACCATCACGGTGCCATTTTGTTTTTCCTCAACAGGAACAGGATAAGTCAGTAAAAGTTGATGGGAATCCAGAGCTAAATACAAGGCAATCCTGGAGTAAAATATTTATTCATAATATAATTTTTTTTAGCTGTTTATTTACCTCACCTTCAAAATTATGTAATAGTGGGTACTTTTTTATTACATAAAAAGTCATTGACATTTATAAGAAAATAAATCCAATGTTTTCCATAAAGGTGGTTTTCTCTTTTCATCAGTTTACAGTGACAAAATGTCTGCAAAAGAAAGAGTTGACTGTTCCAATTCAGTCCCAAATACAAAGACACAATAAATGACAAAGTGAGTCACTATAAATTAAAGGTAAATAAATGCAAAATTGTGTCAAATGCAACACGTGAATATGGAAGCAGCAGCTACCTTTGACAGAATAAATGTGTATCAGTGTGTTTTGTGTATTAATGTGGAATACCTGGCCAAATAATCGTTACGGATCAGGAGCAGGTGTTGCATCAGGGACAGGAAGTGACTTTCAGCCTTGGAATCCTTCACTGTGTTGAATAAGATGTCAAACACTTCCCTCACATCATTGAAGCAAGTTAAGGCTCAATGAATACATCAGACAGAGGATGTTAAAAAATACATCAAATGTATACTGAGAATATATCATTAATAAACAATCTGATAGAAAGATTTATACAGTAAAAACAAATAATTGCTGCAAACTGAACAATACCGAGGTTGGATGATCAGAGACAAACAGTAATACTAAAATAAAAAATTACACCAGATAAGTAACTATATAATAGTATGTATATATGCAAATGTATACATTATTATAAAAGTCATTTGAAAAGCTGTTCTAATGGATTTGAAATGCGTTGAGGGACCAGCAGAGCTGCTTTGTGCAAAGCGGACAGGATTGCAGTAACACCTGGGAGACACCTGGTGTTTAAAACCAGCAACTGCAAGTCAAAAGCAGTGAAATACATTTAGTTTAATCCTTTGTAATAATTTATCTCACAACTGTCCCATTTATATAATACAGGGGAAAAAGCATAATGGTGATAAAAAAAAAAAGTGTCATCCAGTCAGAATAACTAATCAGGTTCTCAAACCTCAGTATTCTTTATTGGGCTATTTTAGATAACTGTGCACTATGTAACAGCAACCATCAACACTCCATTTGGTGTAGTGCATTTGTTATTGTGCACTGTAGGCAGTGCACTAATTTACCCAGTGCTGTGAAAGAGAATTTAAAATTAGGCACGTTTTAAAAATAATTGTGCTTGTGGGGTGCTAGACTGTATGACTAATACGGAGATAATTTAGAGCTATTTTAAGAAAACTCCAGTGGTTGGGTTATTTGCTGACTGTGACTTTACCACAGCTAATATGATTATGTTCACAAAATTGAATTTGCCAGAAATAAACAAAAACAAAGCAACAGAGTGAGTAACGGGACTGTGTTGTGTATGAAAAATATTGACTTTATAACTGTTGTCAACCAGAAATGGAATAAGGAAAATAGCAAAGAATCCAAATTTAAAAGCATAAGCTAATATGCAGTCAGTCATACTATGGGCATGTCTTTCAAAAAGTGTTCATAATACAGATATATTTTGCTAACCACATTTTAAGGGTTGTGTGAACAGAAAAATTCAAAGAATGCATCATAATAATATAGGGGGAAAATACTCAAATTTTCTTTATCTTGTAAAGTAAGTAATGTGAGTGGAGTGTTCAACAAAGGCCTATTGAAAGGATATTCCATTTCTATGCGGATGTCTTCAAGACGTCCTCTAAGGTCGTCTGAGTCATCTTCGGCCTGCTCATCAAACACATTGAGTTGCACCTGTAGCTCCTCATTTTCTATCCTCCGGATCTCCTGCAGTGATCAGGATGGGATGGAAGGAGAGAGATGAAAGCACTCCGAGGAGAATGGCAGGAGGTGTGTCGCAGTGAAACATCTTTCAGCTTAGACAGCTGAGATTTTTGCTTTAACCAGAAGAATCCATCAGTGACTCTACAGCAAAAGCATCAATATGAGCAGGTATATATAATGCACTCCGATAGATTTCCTAATGACTTACACTCAGGTGTTGTCTAAGTCCCAGTCTTAAGAGTTCAGAACGAATATGGATTCTAAAGTCCAGTTCCTCTGCCCGGCTGATTAGGGCGTTGATCAGCTGCATACATCCACTCTGCAAAAGACACTTCAAGTTAGCTTTACATTAAGAAAACTGTTTAATGTAAAAACATTTGCCTTTTACATGACAGACTATATCAAGTACTGTTAATGAACAATGCCACCTTTAATCAAACAGAAGTATAACAGATTAAATAAATATCTTTCTTAGTTCTTGGTCTGGTCTGGTCCAGACGTAAAACAGACTGCATACCTTAAGAGCAATTTGGTTACTCTGCATCCCATCTATAAGAGGCTGAAATCTCTCAGCATCCTGTTTTTCAGCTTCCTCTGTAATGGCCTCTAAAACACGGTCATGACTTGGAAAAGAGAAAGATTTATTTTCATTATCCAATAACTAATAATACACACATAAATCCCCCCCCCAAAAAACAAAACGTGTCGTTGCATGATTTAATGACTGTCACAGTAGTCTACAAATTATAGTAGAAGGAACATTTAAATCAGGCCTAAAATGATAACTATCACTTCACTAAGCTCGACTGAGTCACAACATGTTAGCACTTAATTTATTTATCCTCACAGGTTGTCAGGATGATCCAAAATACAGATGGCAGAAAGTAGCTTGGCAGCATCCACCATCATGTTGGGCACCTTGTAGTTCAAGGCTCTCACCAGGAGACGAATCCCATCCTCCGTCCCCAACATGGATTTTATACCATACTAATAGAAAGATAAAGAGCAAAACACATATTTCAGAATGGATTTATGGGATTTTCAGCCTACAACACTCATCAAGCAATATTTACTTTGATACAGAGGAATAAAAACATTCTTATAAAAAGAAAAAAAAAGGAACACTCCCAAGTTTCTAATAATCAAAGGCTATTTTTATTAAGCAATATAAGTTATACAGGAAATTAACTACACTAAAAAGAGCATGTCTGATTTTAAAACATTATTAGAAATACTACTTTATCTTGAGTATATAGTAGAACTTAAAAAGGGCTGCACAATAATGCCAGCCCTTAAATATACTTCAATATATTTAGAGTGCATACGTTTATTTTACAACAATCTTAAATGTTCTGCTTCTATTCAGATTCAGGTCATTAGAATTAAGATTTACTTTGAAAATCAAAACAATAATCAGTGACACCTGAAATAGTGGTCACGTTGCCCTCTAGTGGTATGAATCGTATACTACATACATTTAAAAAATAAACGGAAAAGAAAAACAAGTACTCATGTCAAATAAAGCAAATATCCTCTGGTTTAAAGAGAAAAAAACCCTCTAATCTACTAATGAATTTCAGTTTTCTTACCATGTTATTCATGAAGGCCTTCAGACAGCGAATGATCTCATGTTGACATTTGTATCCCATATGTCTAGCTTGGCTAAAACAGAATATAGACAGAAATGTATTACAAAATCCAGTCGATTCCATAAAAAGCACACTTTGCTCAACTGATTTCTGTGACTTACGAGTTTTCGTCCTTCTCGTCTTGAAGTCGTTTCAGTAGCGACAAAAGCAGCATGAGGCCTTCATCTCCAAAATTCTGCACCCAACTTAACGTGAAAAGATGAATAAAAGATAGAATTGTTTTTATTTTCTTTTTCAGTATATACCATTTGAAGTTTTCAGATATATCTGAAGTCATTTCTGAAACTCGATCTACAAATAAAAACCTTATCCAAAAAAAAAAAAAAAAAAAAACATTTAACACACAATCAAGACTAATGAGCTAGATTGAGTCAAAGGTACCAGAAAGCAGTAGATCTTTGACTTACAACACAGGACAATCATAACAATCTCACCAAAACAAAACAAAAGAAGTTGCATAGATAAGTCAACAGTCTAATCTCAGCCTGACTGAGCCTCATTTTTTCCAGTGGGGAAAACGAACAGAACATAAAACCCCTCAAACTAGCGTCAGCTGCAGCAAAACAAAAAGGACATGACCAGAAAAGACAAAAAGGTGTCCAAGAAAACCTACAAAGGACTTCAGGCCATCACTGCATTCAAAGAGTGTTTGACACCATAAAATGTTCACCACTTCAGATTATTTTATCACATAAGATAAAGATGAGATTCCCAACACATGTAGTATAGGTTAACTTATTTGAAATTTAATTTAATGAAGCCTCTGGTTTGAAGGGAAAAAGGGCCAAATTCCTTTCATTTTGTATTCTTTACCTGACAGGGTTGTTATTGAGTGAGACTCTCAAGGACTCCAGGCAGGTAAGCAGCTGCTGTGGATCTCTGTACTCCATCTTTATCTCCTGGATGTACATTACTGCTGACTTGGACCTCTCCCTTTGGTCTTGTCCCTGAAAAACACATCAAATAATACATTTTAAAGTATTTGTAATTTAAAACGTATTAGTTAGAGTTAATCCTATTCTTATTTATGCTATTTTACTCTTTTCTCTGCACTTTGCTAGTTTGTGCTGCTTTGACATCTGAATTTTCCCCACCAGGATCTAAGTCCAAATGTATTTATATAGAGTGATTTAATCACAATGAAATCCCAGAAGCGTCAACAGTTTTCCTTTGATTTTGTATAAACAAAAACATCTCAGCTTTGAAAAGCATTCCAAGTAGGCCTGTCACGATAACAAATTTTGCTGAGCGACTGTCTAAAAAATGATTGCGATAAACGATAATATTGTTTCAAGACCTTTTGACACTGATTTAATGGAAATGATGTAATAATGCATGCAATGTCCTGCCATAGATAGATACACTTTTTTGAAAAGAACACATAACACTGGAACTGATAAACAACCAAAAACAAAAATAAAATGGATTCTCAGTCTCCATTAACAAAAAATGTACTTGAATAAAAGCTAAACAACATAAAGCCGAAGTGGAAATAAATACTGCATTCAACCAAAAGAGTGCAGATTATGAAGTCTGTATACTGTATTGCCCTTCAGTAATCACTAGATTTAAATAGAGAAGATGGGCACATCCGACTACCTTAGTTCACACTACACAATTTTTTTACCCCTATTTTCCCCTTACGACAATCCCCTTATATAATACGGCGATATAAGATTGTCGCTGGTGACTTCGTAACCGATCAACCTGCAGTATGTGGTGGGTTACAGTAGATCGTTGTGGCCGTTCTGATCTAAATCAGGGGTTTTCCCGAGTGGGAGCTTGACCTGAATGTGACAGGTAGCCAATCAGAAAGCGCGGATTCTCCTCCATGCTTTCTGAGGGGAAATTACAAGGGGAATCCCAAACAGCTGACACGGAGCAACCCGACTTTGGAGATGATATGTGGAAACAGCATAAATGCTTATTCAAGATTATGCTGCCGTCTTCACCGCACCTTTTGAAACATAAATAAATTTCTAGCTCAATAGTTTCTATTCATGCGTTTCAATGTTTTATCTGCACAGTGATTTTGGCATCGTCCACTAGGCATTCAATGTGGGTACTTACAGCTTTAGAGGTGTGGAGGTATTGGGAGACCATCTCTCGTTTAATCGATATGTGTTTTTCCCTCAGTGGTCGCTGCTTTTCCTCATTCAGGTTCATGTCCACCTTTAGGAGAAATAGGAAGAGCAAAGGAATGGAGAAAAAAAAAATAAATGATGTGAAGGGCAAACCACTTTGAGAATTTAATTTATTTATCCTCAAAGAAAAAAAAAAGATTGAAAGAAAAAACATACACAAAATAGGTGTATTGTTACCCTTTTGTATAGCTTACTGTATTTTAAGGTCCTAGCTTTTGACATCACAGTTTGTCTTTATTAAACATGAAAACATGCATGTTTGTGCTGAAGTCTGTTGTAGGCTTTGATTATATGAAAATAGGAGCGCATAATGACTTTACATCTGTTTTCAGAAAAAAACTCAACTGTGTAAAACTGTTGTCGAAATTGTTTTGAAGGTATTAAGGTAATCCCACATGAAGGCTCTTTAAACAGTGAGGGATTCAGTAGTTCTGCAGATTACTAGTTTACCGAGCTGCACATTCAAGATAATGAATTTTATTTGACTTCTTAGTGGGTAAATTTTCCACAGAAACCTCTTTTTTTTTTTTCCCCCCTCACCAGCATCTTTTCGAAGAGCGCCAGGATATCTTCATCAGATTGTTCATGGAGCATAGCGCTTTGAGGTGAGAGCTCATAGGTGGCAGCTGAAGAGTGCCGCTGATTTGGAGGCAGAGGCTTTTCCTTGTCCTTTTTTGTTCTCATACTGGTGAGACGCTCCAACTGGGAGGGTGAACAAGATAAGACGGGTTAGAGGAAACGGACACATCAAAGAGAGGGCACAGCAAAACATGCAAGCCCCACTCTCCTTTAAAAAACATTGACAATGTCATCAGGTTTTCAATGCCATTAAGTTGTTTTAGTTTGCAGATATTACATTAGCTATTTTCAGACTTTAAACTCTTTGCAGGAAATTTGAAAGCAGCTAAATTAACAACATTATTTATGGTTAGATACACTATGCAAGCTAGATGTTTGAAAGGAATGTAGAAATCACCAAAATAAAAAGGTGCGTCTTCATCCGCAAATGTGACCTATATCACATCTCAATCTTCCAATCTCACACACACCTGTTCATTGAACTACATCTAACCTGAAGAGGGACATTTTATGAATTGTTTGTGTATTAGGAACACTCATTTATGTCAATTTCCTAGATGAATACATTGCAGCACATTTCAGACATTGGTCTGCTTTTTATAAGCCCAGGGCTCCAAAGCACATTATCCTACAATCAGTCCCCCACTCATAACGCAGTAATGGTGGTAAACTGCACTGCAGCCACAGCAGCCCTGAGGCAGACTGACAGAACCGAGACTGCCATTCAGATGTCATCTTCTGACAAACACCAGCAGGCAAAGTGGCTGAAGTCTCTTGCCAATGAAGACGACTGGCACAGACAGAGTGGGGATTAGAATAGGCAACGCCAAGTCGAATCTGTACCTCCTGAGCCAATGGCACCTTCTTTCCAAAAGATGGTGGCAGTAGTTCTAACCTTTAGGTGCTGCATACATCTAACTGCGCCAATTTATTTTTTAAGCATGAATTAAACTTGTCTAGATGTCACTGAGAAGGATTAAAACTAGAAACACTCCAAATTTAAAGTCTGAAAAGGGCTAAAATATTCAAAAGGAACACTTTTAGCAAAATGGAGTCATTGTTTTGTGACAGACATGGCACAAAACAATGTCCACACAAAGTAAAACACAGGGGAGATGTCTAACCCTTAGGGCAGGGGTCACCAACTCCAGTCCTCAAGGGACTGTAACTTTTAGATGCGTCTCTGCTCAAACACACCTGGATCAAATAAACTGCTCGTTTCCAGCCTATTGCAGAGAGGAATGAATGCTGGTGAGGGAATTCAGACATTTTGGAGCAGAGGTGAATCTACAAGTTGCAGGATGGTAGCCCTTGAGGACTGGAGTTGGTGACCCCTGCCTTAGAGTTTACGTCTTTGTGTTAACATTGTGAATATTGCCAAGACATACACTGTGTATTAAAATAACTGAAAACACACAAAAGAACATGAACTCAGTAATGCACAAGGCCTTAGCACAAAGATGTGATAAAATAATTCACTAATCTTTGTGCCAAGCATTTACGCTTTCAATTAATTTCTCTAAATTATGCACATTAAGCTCATGTTCAATGCAAGACAAAACACACATTCATTGCCGATTACATTTAAGTGGGTTTCTGACAGACAGCAGTTGGTGAGTGGAGCACAGGTGATTGTAACACAGTAGCAGACCTACCTCATCGGGAATCAGCCGTTTGAGATTCTGCAGATTGTATAAAAGATTACAAAGGGGGGAAATGGAAAGAGAGGGAAATATCAGCCAAGATGACAGAAAAGAGGCGACAAGGAGGAGGAGAGGGAAAAAAAATAAAGAATCAATTAGACAGAAATTATGGCAGGCAACAGCTCCGGGAAATTATGTAGAGTTCATTAGCAATTCAGGGAGAAATCTAAGAAATTGCTAAGGAAACTTTATCCAGTTATTAACTGAGGATAATTATGTTCTATATTAGGGCAAACACATTCTATGTTAAGGTACCAAATACAGTCTTGATTAACAAAAGGCAAAGAAGGAAAAATTTGACTAATATAATTTCAAAAACAAGATGGCACATGTCAGCCACTAGATGTCAGTATGTACCAAATAATGTTTCTGATGGAAGATCAAAGCAATGAAAGAATGAATTACACACATCCATTTAACCTTCTCCTATTAAATTATAAAAGGAATTATAGCACCACAAAGGAAAATGTGAAGAACACACAAAGAATGAAAAATAAATTTTGAAAAGTGAGGCATATTTGAAAAATAAATAAATAAAACGTAGGCAATTTCCAACTTTTGGGTTTTGAAGGTACTGCAAATACTTTAAATATCAAGGCAGATTAGAAAATGCTCCAACAAATATGTCAGACTGAAATAATCGACTAGGAGAAAGTATTATTTAATATTCTTACAACCAATGAGAACCTAACAGCAAGATATTACTTTTCCTTTGGAAGGTTCAAATATTTCAAGGTTTTTAAATTTTTTAGCTTAATTTTGTTTCATTGTCTGACATCAGTCATGTAAGACGTGAGGTTTTATGAAAGTTGGAACCAAAAAAAATCCTGCTATAAGTGTTTCTGCAGGCTTTTTTATTTGTATTCAAGAAAATAAAAAGTTGAATAACTGATAAGTAAAAAAAAAAAAAGCACTAAAACTCCATAATTCAATACATTTCTTCTCAAATGAAAGTGGTGCTTGGATCCACACAGAATAATTTCAGCCAGACGGCAGGTATTGCACATAATTTCAGCAACTTGCACAACTTATTCCATTTTATATTAAAAGAAACCTCAGCAAACTATAACATGCCCACCCTTTAAAGCTGAGGGAGTGGTGAAGAGAGAGCAGACGGATCCATTGCCCTTAACATTTATAAAAATTTCACACAAACATGAAGTGTATTTATATAAAAGAATGGAAAAATGGTCAAGTTAATCAATAATAAAAGTATGCAGAATGTAACAATAGTGTTAAATTCTGCAGACAAGTGTGTGTGTGTGTGTGTGTGTGTGTGTGTGTGTGTGTGTGTGTGTGTGTGTGTGTGTGTGCGTGTGTTAGTGTGAGCATGCACCTGTCTAACTGTGGCTCAGCAGGAAGAGCCGATTTCGAAGAGCTGATTTTGGTTTCGATTTCAGCTTCCTCGCTTGCCACTTGTTGATGTGCCACAGGGCAAGGCGCTGACTGGCTATTTCCCTACCAATCTGTTTAACACCGTACGGTGCTTGTTTGAGTGTTTACTGAGGCTCTGGTATAAAACCACAATATAAACTCAACCTATTTACACATGAGGAAGTCTGAGGATAAGACCATATTAAATATAAAAATCTCAACACAGATTATATTATTCATGTGAAGACGTGTTTTAGGTCTGCATGGGGGTTTAACAACTTCAAATTTTGGATTCAGGCTAGTTAACATTAAGTATTAGTCATCTTCACATTTAGTACCAAGTACTTGTAAGTTCCAAGGAGATTAATGCAAGTCCTACATAAGCAGGAAATCGAAAAGAGAAAGTGGGAACATTCTGTTTATAGGTAAAGGCCTCAAAAGAAAGATGTTTCTCCTCCAGCAGCTGTCATTAGATAAACCCACATCATAAACGTGTGCAGAATGTGAGAAAAATCCCATACAGGTGAAAACCAGAGCTGTGGTAGCATTGTGCCCACACAACGGAAATGCACTTTCTGAACGCACTCTGTTCTTATCTTGGACAGAGCGTGTTCAGGCTAAGAGCAAGACTCAAAACTACTTAGAAAAATAAACTATGAAGTTCTGCTTTTTAAACCACAACTTAATTTATGCAGAAATGAGCTTACTAGAAAAGAAGCCTTAGAACAGCTATGAATTGCTTAATATTTATAATTAAATGCTTAATTTCAAAAACAAAAAAAGAAAGAAAAGAAAAAAAAAACCCTGATAATATATCTAATTTGTAAATTTTTTAACTTGGCTCCCAAAAACTATTGTTTACTGACCAAATAAGGCATTAAAACAATATTTCACATGCCCTATTGATGTTGTACAAGTGCAAAAGTGAGATTCACTCGCAGGATAACTGCTCACCTGCACTATATATGCCAAATATATTCTGCTTGCATAAAACAGACCAAGAGATATACTACCATGATTGTTCTGAAGGAGTAATTTCAACTCGTAAGCAAAGTTAAAACACGCAAAACAAAGACAGCTGGTTTTGCATGAGCTCCATGTAAAACCAGCAACCTAAGAATAATGAGCTATAAACTTTTCTCTATAGAGATGACTTCAGAGTCTGAAATAGCTTCCTAGTCTCACACAAACATTACATTAGAAACAAAGTGGACACACTGTACAATTACAAACATTGAAAACAAATGCAACTTAAAGTTATTGGCCCCGTTATATTTCACATATCATTTCCTGCATATAGTGTGGAATAATGCCACCATCACTAACTGCTTTCAGTTAGTGAAAGCAGCATTGCTGCTTCCTCTCTGTAGTTTTATCACTCCCTTCTTAGACAGGGCCGTCACTCTCCCTCTTTCCAGTGGTGTTCTTCCCACTGCTTCCTCCAAAGCAGACTGGCTAGTTCTGGAAGAGATAATAGTCTTTGTCCTAAAAAAGACTGGGCAATGACGACAGTCACCTCACTGACGGTGTTCACCATTGCAAACACAAAAAGTGGCAAAATATTTTTTTAATCATGTTAATTGATGCATTTTTTTTTCTGCAAATTAAACGCATGAATAGACTAAATCATTTCTACTCTGTGTAACAATAAAAAGTACTTAAAACATGAAGTAAAATTGGGGGTCAGGAGTGTACAATGTTTGCTATGCAATTGTTCAAACTGGATTGTCATGGTTGCATACTTGGTGTGCATAGGGAAGTAGTATTGTGACAGGCACACCCAGACACAGCTACAGCCTCATACACATCATACAAAAGCAGGAAATGTCAAATTCTGATGCATTTAACAAACTGAAAGCATTGTCAACATAACTTACTATACAATCGGTAAAGAAAAACGGTTTATCATCTCTACAAAACCCACGCAAAGTGCAAACTAATACATAAAAAAAACCTTTAAAACTAAACCACTAAAGAAAAAAAATGTTACCAAAACAGAGTAAATGTGCTACCCTTACGAGGCCAAGATTACACTGGTGTGTTAAGCAGCAATCCTTTAAAATCCCAACCTTTCCCAGCTACATTCTGGTATTGTCCCTAAATGCCTTACAGAGCGCAGATCCAGTGCTTTTCAGTAGACTCACTGTGTGAGAGACATTATGTCTGAATGCAATAACAAGTAGGGCATTTTTGCTGCATGACTGCCCATTCACCCAGGCATATTGCTGGAAATTTTGGCAACAACAAAAAAACAAAGCAAAACAAAAAGCAACTGCTTCCGAACCACCTTCTAGAAAGTTATGAGTTTTAAAAGTAAAAACAACATCAACAAAAAACAATCAGCTCTCCCAAGAACCACCAACTGTTAGTTTGTTTTAACTGTGGAGAGTTTTTTATTTTTATTTTTTAGATATACTGACCAGAAGAGATTGCTATGAAGTGCAACTAATAGGCAGCCATTGCCAAGATGAATTTTCATTAGTTCTGGAAAATCACAAGTGTGGAAAACAAAACAATAAGCACTAAACAATTAAACAAATTATCATTGCAGATGGAAGGTTAAAAGCAGTTAGTTTTCAGAAAAAGGTTTTGCAATACCAGTCTGGGGTTTCCAGTTTAACGCCAAAGTCCAAAAGCATGACTTATGTTAATGAGTTGCCCATAGGAGCAAACATGCCGTTTTGGCCTGTGTGTCTCAGTGTTGTCCTGTGAGGGGCTTCGACATGTAAAGGGTACTCCCCGCCTCTTGCCCGATGACTAGAGGAGTACCAATAAATCCGCTGGTCGATAAATCTGTACACTCAATTGGCCACGAGAGATTTCTCCAGCACCCAACACCAACTATCAGCCAAGAAACTGGAATCAGAATCCTGCTATTCTAGAAATAACCAGAGGATTTGGCTGAGATCATTCTGATCAACCTTATTTTAATATTAGTAAAATAGTGTTGGGTTAAAAAAATGGTTATTTAAAATAAAAACTGAAGTTCAAATATAAACTTGCTACAATTTGCGATCTACATTTATTAATGTTGCTCTATGCCCAAAACAACACAAGGCCTAAAATGCAGCTTCTTTCCTGAACGCTGCCAATTGTTTTGTTGTCACAAACTCACATTTATGATCCCTGCATTTAAAAAAAAACATCTGCAATGCGTTTCCTTCAGCACATATTTACCTGACATAGAGCTGTACAATACATCCAGTTTTATGTGTGCAATATAGCACACACAAAGGGCTGCTCTGTTTGGATGCAATGTTTGGTAGGCTATAACATTTCATGAGCTATGCTTTTAAACTCTGTCAGCCAATAATATATTCCAAACCCTCCTCCAGCAGGAGGATTTTTCAGTGTCCTTTATGTCCAGATCCAAGGTAGATCTTAGTGAACTTAAGGGGCAGCGGTCAGAACAATTATAGGGTGGAAAAGAAAGAAGAGTGGGGAAAATGAAGGTTAATCACAATGGATGTTCTCATTGCACTAGCCAACAATAACACTGCAGTTTCTCAGTTTCCTTTTATCCTACTTTTCGCACAAAACATTGCTGATAACTGCTGAGGTGACAGCAGCTCCCTGCACTGTGGCTACAGAATGCCAAATGCTCA